CGATGCTGATCGCGGGAGCGGATTGCCACAGCATCCGTCTGCATTTATTTGTACTTTTATTCGGTTTTATGCTCAAGATTGTGTTGTCAAAAAGGAAGAAGGAAAACTTAGCGAAACACAAGCTTGGCGCTCGTGTGACTGATCTCATTAGGCAGTACGGCAAGTCCCCATAAACATTCTATACTATCTTAAAAAGGTTTGGCTAAAGGCATTACCAATTTTACAAAAACTCCTAGAAGATTTTGAAAAGCCGCTGTTGGTTTAGATGAATGAAAGGCAAATACATGTTTGTATTGTCTCTGAATCTTTTGTTTGTCCTGAGACAAAAATGTTGTGTGTTAACGTTTAATCAGGAAGACGAAAAGATATTAATTACAAGCCGGGGACAATTTAAGAAATTTAAAAAGGAACGTCCTCAAACGAAGACAAAAGCCATTGTCAATAGATAAGTTCTTTGGAAAGGTACAGAAAATATGAGTAACTGATAGTGAACCAAAACCCGGTCTCAGTGGGGTGGAATTCATAAGACGAGAGAGAGACCGCCTGACTCAGAGGTCGACTCTCCTTCCATATCTTAACCCCTCTCCTCGCCACATGCCATCGTCCCCCTTAAGCCAGCAACGTCTGTTTATATGGCAAATTACAACTGAAAACAGTAAAAAAAACATTTATAATAATTACATATATTATAATCATATGATAAAATTTCCTATTGATGTTTTCGGGTGTTAAACGGATTAATTTCATTTCAGTTGTTTTAAATGGGGAAATTCCTTTCACATAGCGAGCGTTTCACATGGCGAGCTCGGTGTCGGAGCGGATTAAACTAGTTTACCGAGGCTCCACTCTAGGTATTTCTTAGCAGAAAAGACTGGGTGGGGCTATATATCATATCATTACCGGCCTGTGTAAGTCTAACCGACTGGCGATGAGAATCGAGGCTCCGTTTGACATGACTGGAACATGCTTTCTAACGCGTGCCAGACATTGCGCTCTGTTTTCAAGGGCACGCGATTTTTGCGGACTCATTTAAACTTAGTGTATATTATGGACTTTTTGAAGTCTGCAAAACACTTTTTTTATTTCATTTTCTAGAAAGATGTCCAACAGGGGTAAGATTGAGGACGATCCGAAGAAGTTCAAGGAACTTATTGATCAGTTTCGGTCCAGAATGATCAAGGAATGTACACCACTGCCCGAGGAACCCGATTTATTTACTGCTGAATCCACGTAAGTCAATTTGACCAGTAAGATGGAAATTTAATAGTACAGACCGTTCACTATCCGGCAACTGCACGTCAAGGAGATTGGGGTGATGTACGAAGTAGTTAATTTCTGATGTTCTCTACTGGTGTTGTTTCCACTTATCAACTTACGCCGGCTAGTTATAATTTTGTAATTATCATAGAATTTTTCAATATTTTTCACGGCATCTAGCATATTTAGCTGTTCAAGTATAGAGGTATTACTTAACTCAACTGAAAAGCTGTTTTAACAAGACCGCCTGTCTGAACTAGTATCTGTAGCCCTTAAACTTCAAAAGCGCAAATAAAAAAACTCCCATGGTAGAAATACGGAAGGATTTCAATTTTTCTCCT